TGATGTTTCATGCAGTGTATAGTCTCCCTCCCTTCCTCGGGACCGGCCAACAACGTGTCCATGTCTTGACGGAGGGTGTTGGCAAGGCCGGCATGGATGGCGGGGAAGACGAAGGCGCGCTCCTCCCCCGGCCCCGTCTCAGCAAGCTGTTTCACCACTTCCTGCGACGGCATCAGCCGCAAAAATCCGTACAAGGTCCGAAGCAGCACAGAGAGACGTTTCTGGGCGCGTTTTACCTGGGCTTGGAGGGCGAATCCCCCACCTTCCACCTGCCGACCCCCACTCCCTCGGAACGGCGAGCTCACGGAGGACGTCAAGGGCTCGAACACAATGTACCAACGTTCTAGAAGGTCTTGACTGCCTCCTTCTCCCGTGGTTTCCGCCACTTGCTCTGTCTCACCGGCCAGGGGCGGCGACGGTGGTCCCTGAAAGATCAGGTCCAACACCAGGGGCGTGTGCAAAGACTCCTTCCAGGCCGCCAGACCGCGCCGCACCGTGCTCACTTCCTCCACCTCCAAATTCAGCCGAAATCGACGACTGCTGCTGCTGCTCACGCTCCCATGATTGCTGCTCCCGCTCTGGTGGCCATGGGGCGGTAATGTGGCTGTGTACGCTCGCTCCGGCCCTGCCTTCAAGTCCTTTGTCCGAGCGCGAAGAATGATCTCCGCTGCCTTCTGCATGGCCTCAAACATGGTGAACGCCCATTCCTGGGGAATGCTTTCGTTCGTGCCCGACATCAGTGACGGATTCTATGATGATTTGCCGGTGTTTTTGCTGTGATGTGGAGAAAACGAACGAGCAGTAGAAGGTATCGCAATCACCGCCCGGTCTTCAACGACGACCACGACGCTGCTCTTGCTGCTCTCGTGATCGTAAGCACTGGAAAGTTTTCCTTTCCTCGTCCGTTCAATTAACAAATATCAGCCATACTGTGCATACAATGACGCGTGTATATATCGGCCGATTCCCGATCTTGAAGAGGACTGCAAGGCTGCTGCTTCACCTTCCGCGTCCTCCTCGTTTCTAGAGTAAAAAATCCAGAGGCCAACACTTGAGAGCCCTCAATAAGCCAAACGTTGGGACCGAAGGAGATTTCTGTGTCACAATGTGCCGAATGTGCATGTGGAAGTGCATTCGTCAAGGGGGTTGAAAAGATTTCCACCCTGTACAGGGCCTAAGGAAGTCGATCTCATGCCGTGATGAAGCGGGCTTTCCTACATGCCAAGCCAGGGGCAGCCCTACAACAGAACTAAATTGAGCAATATGCTATGGCAGCCACAACATACACATACATGAACTGCGTAAATTCATCTAATTTTCCCTCCTAATGTGCGCTCAAAGCCATGCCATCAGATCATTGGATAGGCGAGGCATCGGGAATGACGACCTCCGGGTAGTCAGGCGGAGGCACGACTGACCGTGGGAGGGGAGGGGCCAAGTGGTAATGCGATGCTTAGTATGCCAGGGACATTGAAGGGCAAAGTAATTCCTGGCGTAAATGTCTCGTTTTGACATTTGAGAGGATTCGACTCTATACGTCAGTCCTCGGAGAGAAAAGGCAGCCCCGCTGCAGCCATTCATACACCGAGGGCGATATTAGGTGTTTGTGCGAACTTCTGACGCGCGCAAAGGTCATGCAACAGAGGGAAATAATCTAGAAGTGTATTATATTCTACACGCTAGATACACTCATATTTCTGCCTTCCACCTGTTATGATTTCTTTTCCGTTCATGCCACCAGTTTGGAGCGTATGGTGGGATGGCTGTCTCTACGTCACTCTCCATTTCGTTGGTTTGATATAACCAAAGGAACCTTGCCCCTTAGCCACAAATCCGTTCCATTCTCTGCACAGGCACAAACCCGGAAACCTACCTACTGCCATGCAAGACATGGTCAAAGTTACGCTGTTCCATCATCCCCCTCATGCGTCCTTCCTTTTTGTACCTGCTTTCTCACCCCTCCCCCACCTTGTCAACATCAAGACACAAACACGATTATAATGATCTTCCGAACATTACATTCACTCCACAAGTATAATGTCCTTCGCTCTATAGGCGCAGAAAATCGGTCTCTCCTCAACCCTACCACAACCTCCGTCCAAGCCTCGCCCGAGGGGGGAAAGAGGACGACACCACATTCCTCTGACAGTAGAGCCCGTGCTCCGGAACCTCGCCCACCTCTTCCTCTCAGGCGGAACCCACTCGATGCTTAGTACACCTCCACGTGCCACTGGTGGTTCTTCTTGAGCCCTTCCAACATGTCCTTCCACTCAATGCCTTTCTCCTGGGCGACGCGCTCTAAGGTGTCCTGAATGCCGGGCATCATCCCCTTGAGACCGCAGAAGTAAATGTGCGCGCCCTTGGAAAGCCGGTCGAAGATCTCGTCTGCGTACTCCTCCATCTTGTCCTGAATGTACATCTTCCCACCCTTCTTGTTCTCCTGCTCACGGGAGAGGGCGTAGTCGACGCGGAAGTTGTTCGGGTACGCCTTCTTCACCTCTTGCCACTCGTCGTCGTAGAGCAACGAGTCCTTGTTCGCCACGCCCAGGAACAACCAGGCCAGACCCTTGAACGCCTTGCGGGCGGGCGTATCCTCCACAAACAAGCGGCGGACGAAGGTACGGTACGGGGCGATACCCGTGCCCGTTGCCACCATGATCAAATCCGCCTCGGGCGTCTTCTCGGGGATGAGCATCACTTTCCCCGTGGGCCCAGCCAAGGCCACGCTGTCCCCCGGCTTGGCATCGCAGAGGTAGTTGGAGCAAATGCCCTTCTTCGTTGGGTCCTCAGCCTTCAATTCGGGGCACCAGTAGGTGGCGCGGCGGACGCAAAGGGAAGCAGTTTGCCCCTTCATGTCGTCACCGTAGCGGGTGGAAGCGATCGAGTACAAACGCACATTGTTCGGCTTCCCGTTCTTGGGGTTGATGCCGGGGGGGACCACACCGTAGGATTGCCCCTCCCAGTACGGCATGGCTCCTCCGTGGTCGATGATGATGTGGCAGGTCTCTCCCGTGGCCTTGGGGCCCACAATGCGCTTCACGCTCACGATCTTCCCCGTGTGCGGCTCCTTGTTCTTGTAGGTGTTGAGGGGGATGTTGCTCTGGTCGAAGTACGGATTCGCCTCCAAGAAATCTTGAGCACCGCTGGTGCCGCCAGCCGCGGCGGGTTTCCCTGTCATGGACTCGAGGGAGGAGAAAGAGGCAAAGGAGCCATCGTCCGCCTCAGCCTCCCCGAACCAGGGGTCCAAATCCGCAGCAGCCGCCTTGCTGGCTTGCTCGGCAGCGACCTCCAAAGTCTTGAGCTGATCAGCCGAGAGGGACTTACGGACGTTGTCGGGGATGCGGGCCGAGGCCTGGGATGAAAAGCGGAAACGACCAATGGCGTACAAAGACGGTAAGACACGGGTTGATGCATGGTCGGTAGTGCGCCATGCTTTCGATGCAGAGAGGGAAAAGGAAATGTTCGGACTGGAGGGAAGCAGGGCAAGCACGCACTCACCAGATGGGTCGCCTGGCGCGTGGAAGGCATAGGGGGCACGAATGCCACCGCGCTGGAAGCCAGCAGGGCGCTTACGGTGAGAGATAGACGCATGGTGTAGATCTGTGAGATGGATAAGAGGTGGGGAGTGCGTGAGCTAAAAAGTGCGATGGAGCATTGACGCCTTAGTCATCACTGCGACGTATCCTCGAAACCCCCTTAGACATCGGGTCGGCGCTTATTGTCCCATTTCCTCTTCAGTTTAGAGATTTCATTTATTTAATGCTTTGGACGGCTCGTCCTCCCGCGTGGTGTCAAAAGTCATAGAACAAGGATCGAAAACTCTAGCCAAGCACGCGTCCACGCGCCTTTCCGAGCCAGGAGCACACTAGCAAACCATACGAGGGACGGGACTAGGCCGCCTGATGTCCACACTACATCTCCAAATCGAAACGAACATGATTAGAATGAACATAGCATTGAACGGGAGTCTTGGCTATCCACACGGTGGCCACGCGTGTGTGCGTTATTTACGAGCATGCGTGAACGAGGGAAAAAGAAAAGACGGGGTTCATGTCGCGCCCATCCTCTGCATCTTAGTGCATCCACCTCCCCTGCAACAATCTTCATACTTGTCATTTATCAGTCCTGATAAAGTGTCGCTCGCATCGTACAATGCTCTTATAAGAAGAGGGGAAAGGAGAGGCTGCAGGACAGCGAGCCAAGATACGCGGCCTTCCCCTTCTTCATCTTGCTTCAGAGAAAGACGTTGCGTGGAAAAACACATATGTGCCAGAGGACGGACTTCCGGAACTAACGCTTGGGTTTCACGTGAAATCACGTTGACGAGGAGATGGTCTTAAAGTTCTCATCTTCGGAGACGTTCAGGGGGAAAAGTGGTTTGCAATAATAAAGTGGACCAAGACCCGTGCAAATTGAACACAAATCTTTTTCTGGACAGATGCCACAGGCCTCGCAAGCCCCCCAAAAGGCAGGAACTTATTTCGAAATGATATGAAGTGACTCGAAGCACTGATGTTTCATGCAGTGTATAGTCATTAAGTAAGGTGGTTTGAAAGTAAGAGTGCGATGTCTCAGTGTGGTACTCTTGCAGCGGAGACACAGGGTGACCTCCTGGTCCCGATGGCCTCTGTGGAGAAGGAAAGAAATAAATAAATAAACGATGACCTCCAACCTGCTTGTCTGCTTCAAAGGATTGCGTATAGTTGGTGACTGGTAATATCAAGAATCCGTTGTTGTGCATTTCTATCAAAGTGGCACCCAACGTCTCCACCGCCTTGGATCCTTTCATCACCAGCGCGATTCTCCCCCGGGCTTACACCCTTGTCTCCGCGCAGATATTACCGAGAGGGCAGAATAAATTTCTGGTATCAAATGTACGCGTTGCGCTTGTCCCACTCCACCACGTCTGAGTAGCTCAACGCACCACCGAATATATCCAAGGCACTGCCTATCGTCAAATCCACCTGTATTCAAGGAGGGCCTTTCCTTATTACCATCGCAAACATGCAGGACACACCCGACCCGTCAAACACCACGCACCTTGTTCTTGCCCAGCTCAGTCACCCGTTCTAAGTCCTCGATGGACCGCGCTCCTCCCGCGTACGTCACGGGTACGGGTGAGATGTCCCCCAGGAGCGTGACCAAATCCTCCTGTCAAAGAAAGTACAGTCGCGCATGAGGAACCAAGCCTTGGAAGCATTAGAGTGCTATCTCAAAAAATTAAAAAAGGACCTAGTTCCGTGGATTGGGTCGACAAGGTTTCCCCGGGGGCCAGGGACGGCATTCCCCTGCCCTCAGACCCTGTTTCCGACCTTCAACTCAGGCATCCTCTTTCTGCTACGTGCGCGGGGGGGCCAGATCCCTGTACACCATCTACCACAGCAGTCCCTCCCATGGACCACTCTTTTCCATTCTTATTCACTCCCTCGTTTCCCCTTACCCCTCTAAAACCTCCCTC